TTAATGTTCTCTCATTTCCTTCATATTGATAAAAGTAAGGTTGTATAATTATCATTATCCATTTCTTTATTACAGCTGGAGAAAGATGTTACAAATTGGTATGAGTACAAGATCATCAAGGAGGCCGGCACCGAAACTGCCCTCCCAACTTTGAGACTTAGGAAGGGAGTTCTGCCAAAAATCGTTGTAAGTACTTGAGATAAGAAATATTTTTAAATTTTTAGGGGGAGAGGGGGCAAGGCTCCCTATCTACCAATGGATTTCCATTTAAACACAATTTCTCTCACTTAGTATATTCTTCATAGTGAGACATTTCCTTGAATCGATAATCACAAAACTGATAGAAATTCAGTCATTAAATTTACCAGGGTGAACAATCAAGCAAAGCCGCACTAAAAAAATTCCTTACGAGAAAGAAGATTGCAAATGGTGCCTAGTCATAACATGACTAAACGAGGGAATCCCTAACAGGTGTAAATGAGTGCATAATGGTAAAATATAAAGCTTCAAAATCAGGTGATGGAGAATTTATGATTCCAAAGTACACCTGTGGCCTTTTTAACAGATGGTGAAATTGTAGGTACTACTGCTCTCATTCAAAGATGGTGAAATAAACGTCAGTATTTTTCCATTTCACAATCTGCCCACACGAAAATTACCCAGGGGTAGAAAGCTTGAGATCTATACTCTTATCCCTTAATATTAGTCTTTTCTGACTTTTGATTTTGGCATTTACACAACTTCTCGATCCTCATGTAAAATATTTGGCCTTCTTTTGCTAACTAAAGTATTTTTTTTTCTCTTATGGAATTCTGAAAATATCGAGATTCCTGGTAGAGGGGAGACAGCTGATAATGTTCATAATACCGGAGACGATTTTCAAAATCAGGTACCTTTTTCTTTCATTTTTATTAAAGTTGTTATTTTTTTTTTTCAAATAGTTTCTTTCAGACAGTTTGCTGGAAATTTTGCTAATGTGCATTCAAAGTCGGTGTTAAACTGAGGGTCTCATCTCAAAGGGAAACAGCTCATTCCATCACATTGGAGGAGCTTTCTGGAAAAAGGGCACATGACAAAAAATTTCGTTTGAGAGAATTGCATTTGAAGTTTTGGTAATTGCTCTACTGTCACTGACAGTGACTTTCGTTCGAAATCGGGAGTTCAAGCTGCGATGAAAGGTACCATCAGTGGCCAGAAATTAATGATGGAAACTTAAAATGCATTTTTCTCAAACGCTATTTTTTACTATGTGCCCTTTTTCCGGAAAGCTCCTCAATTCCTCTTCAAATAGATAGTGGAATATATCCTCTAGATAGAGGAATAAACGTCAGTATTTTTCCATTTTACAATCTGCCCACACGAAAATTACCCAGGAGTAGAATGCTTGAGATCTATACTCTTATCCCTTAATATTAGTCTTTTCTGGCTTTTGATTTTGGCATTTACGCAACTTCTCGATCCTCAAGTAAAATATTTGGCTTTCTTTTGCTAACTGATGTATTTTTTTCTCTTATAGAATCCTGAAAATATTGAACCTTCTGATGGAGGGGAGACAGCCGATATTGTTCATAATCCAAGAGACGATTTTCAACTGATACCAGAGACAGGTGATATTGTTCATAATCCCGGAGACGATTTTCAACTGATACCAGAGACAGGTGATATTGTTGATGATCCCAAGGACGATTTCCTTGATCAGGTACCTTTTTCCTTCGTTTTTATTAAAGTTGTTATTTTTTTAAATAGTTTCTTTCAGACAGTTTGTTGGAAATTTTGCTAGTGTGCATTCAAATTCGGAGTAAAACTGAGATTCTCATCTCAAAGAGATACAGCTCATTCCATCACAATTCCTCTTCAAAGAAATGTGCCGTTTTTTTGCACCACCAGTTATGATCAATCAGGAAGGCAACTACAGACGCGTCTCAAGTTCCATCATCAGTGCAACACAGCCCTCATGATTCTCTGCTTTCAAGATTCTGTGTAATGACGATTCCAGTTTCATACTGAATTTTAACGAATGTTGACAAAATTACCAACACTCTGTCTAAACGACTTGTACATTAAACAGCAATCTGTTTGTAGGTTTTTTTTTCCTCTCTCTTATCACAAACTAAATGACTTGCTCATCTAAAAATTATAGTTTATTTTGCTAACTAATATATTTATTTGTTTCGTAGATTACTGAAAATATCGAAGGTGGAGAGATATTGGGTTTGGTTAAAGTCTGCGTTCGTCCTGAAGAACATTCCGCACAGGTACCTTAAAGGCTATTATACGATATTTTCCTTCTAGTTTTTAATTGCACCTAATTTTTGAATGAATTTCAATTTTCATTTTAATTTGTGCGTTTATTTGGTCAAAAGACTGCCTACATTGAGACCATTCTGTTGAAAATAACAGCGCTGTATATTTATTTTTTCCAATGCCGGACTGGTTGCATCAATACTAAAAAGAAAAAAAAGAAAAGCACATGCAGTTCATAGCAAAATTAGAGAAGCATTTATTTCGGTTTCAGTATTACCATCTTTCAACCATATTTTATTTAAATAAAGGAAAATGAATTGTTCCCAAATTTTTAAGTTTTGCATAATTTCTCTTTAACTGTAAAACATTATCAAGCAAAAATCTTCAAGTTTTTTTTTAAGAATATACTGAAAACTAAAATTTTTTGTTTTACCATCATGTGAAAAGCACAATTCACAAGCATTGTGTTTATTTTTCTGAATGAATTTTTACTCCTGGAAAGTCGAGCGTTTTCTTCTGAGGTCTTTGGGTAAATCAAAAAGCTGTGTACGATCAACTGCCATGTAATTTCAGTAAATTTAGTATACAGTGTTAATACTACAAGAACCTATCATATATTACTCCACATTATACATTTTATTACACATATCATACTACATATTATTACAATATTGTACTTCTTAAGCATTATCAACGTTTACAGTCTATATAATACATTGATAACAAATTTCTGTAATCAGTTGTAAATTTAATATTTTTGTGTCAACATGTGTAGAATTGTGTCAAATATCAGTTATGGTGGGCACATAAAAAGTGTCTCTTTATGCGACTAATTATAGTGAGTCATCATCTGAAAAATTACTAGAAAAATGTGACCTTTTCAAGTAGTCATAGAATAAGAATATGAAATGAGAAAAGCTGTCAGGGGAAAAATATTCAAGATGAGCTTTCTTCACAATAGCACCTGTCATTATTATGAGTGGTAGTAAACTTAATACAAGGGTCAAAACAATATTTTACGAGCTACCAACATTTTTCGAAGGGTAGAAGCGCATTCGCTGTGTTTCTATCCTTTTAAGGGCTCAAAGGTCTGCCGACAGAGTCTTCCAACAGTTTTTTTTTGCCTATTAAAATCAGAGATATTACAGAAGGAGGGGAGAGATAATTTTTTATGCCATCCAAAATCACCAGAACCCTTGTTCTGAGGGAGTAAGCTTTCACGGATGGCTGTTAACTATTTGAGATTCTTCCTTCAGACGCTCTACCATTGTTCCTCTTGTATTATTTCTTTCTTCATTATAATAATTTTTTTTCATATTTCAGGGGACAAAAAGAAAGTTGGATAAGGCCAATCAAGTTAATTTACAACTCTCTACTGTTCACAAAAGGACCCAGGTTAATTTACGACCCTCAACTGTCAATCAGGAGACCCAGACATCACCAATCAAAAATCGATCTGGAAGTTGGACAGTGAAGGAAAAGGAAAGGTTCAAGGAAGATAGTTCTGAGAGCGGGTTGGAGAAAACCCTTTCTCAGTCATCTGATAAATCTTGGCACCCATCTCACACATCGCAGAGCTCATCACAAAGCTCTCAAAATTCCACAAAAGAAGAGCTCCTAAGTGTACAGCTGAAAACCATTTTTGTTGATTTGAATGTTAAGCTTATGGAAAAGTACCCCAAAAGATACCTACGCATTCCAAAAGATAAGTTAGGATTAATTGAAGTTTTAATACATAACCTTTTCTAAATGTACAAAAATGAATATATATAGAGCTCTTAGAAAAATCCGAAAAAACGAATCTCTGGATGATCTTGCAGATGTTTGTGGAGTTTTGAAAACAGCTGTTTCGAAATCCATCAATAATACAATCCCTGAACTTGCAGCATGCCTGTCTACTTACATTGTTTGGCCACCTTCGAATATAATTAAAAGCAATTTGCCTGCTTCTTTTAGGATTAATTATGCGAATGTTGAGACAATCATCGATTGTTTTGAGATTTTCATAACTCGTCCGTCTGATCCTGTAACACAAGCACTTGTCTATTCCGAATACAAACACCATCATACAATGAAATACTTAATATCTGTTACTCCGGATGGTCTTATTAATTTTATTTCTAAAGGTTATGGTGGGAGAGCCACTGATGTTCAGATTGTTAAAACTTCTGGCTACCTTGATCATTTGAAACCAGGCATGGTTGTCATGACTGATAGGGGTTTTAAGGAATTCGCCCCAATTCTTATTCAGAAAAAATGTACTCTTGTTAGGCCACCCAGCGTAAAACAAGGGGTGAAGCTCAATAAAAATGATGCTAGAGTGGCTAAGATAGTTGCAAGCCTCAGGATGAATGTTGAGCGTGTTATTGGGAGAATCAAAGAATTTCACTTATTTTATGCGCCGCCTTTTCATCACAACCTGTTGCACCTTGCAGATCAGTCTGTAACCATTGGATGTGTATTAGCAAATGATCAAAACCCTCTGTATATGTGAACAAGCATTCAGTTTTGATTCCTCTACTAATTAGCTCAACATTCAAACTGTATCCAGAAAATTTTGTAACTTATTTCATTTCTATTGTAACAACAGGAAGCTCTTCAATCAGTGTGTAGGCTACACATATAGAACTCTAGCACAATAGCAATAATCTTACCATGTAATATCAATTAAAGTAATTCGATGGACACCATATTTTGGGTCAGAACAACGTGCAATATATCGCATCAATTTATTTCATGTTTTCAGCTACTTATCATTTTCTCCAATTTTGACATGACATTTCTGTTATCACGAGATTAAAAAATTTACTTACCAAACTTAACAAGGGAAGTCATTGTAATGAAGGCAGGGTTTTGTTAGAGGAAAAATATTGCATTCGAGTGTTGTTTCGATATCAGTATCGAATGTGACATTTCTCCTCTAAAAAAAACCTTGCCTTCATCAGGATGAACTTGCTCGTTAAATTTGGTAAGTGAATTCTTTAGTCCTGTAACAACAGAAAAACAATTTCAAAATTTGAGAAAAATTACAAGTAGCCGAAAACATAGAACCAGTGGATCCAATTCATTGCACGTTGTTCTGACACAAAATATGGCGTCCATCAAATCACCTTGCTTACAATCTGTGCTTCTTGGTAGTCAGAAGTTTTACATTAGAAATCTCAAAGCAGTCAACCCTCTATGGCATAAATCAATTTTAGGTTTTGGATTCTGGAGGACACAAATCTCTCCTAAAGCTTTCGTAAAGACATAGTCTCAAATTTTTCCACAAAAATTACAAAATTTTGGTAATAATTTTTTTTTTTTAAACACTTGGTAATATTATGTCACGGAGATTTAATTCAATTTTTAAAGAACCAAGAAACGGGTTGTTACGACTTAGTAACATTATGCCATAGAGGGTTTATGAAGGTCTCAACATTCTCAATTTGTTCGATTATTCCTAAAAGGAGCTGGTAGAGTAATGCTGCGTCCACCCCATTCTGTCAGGAAATCAAAGCCAAAACCAAGGAAACTGGCATTAAAGTCACAAAATGAACTCTAATGAGTTCTTGTGCAAGACTGAGGGGGAAGTGTGATGTTCAGGCAGATGTATTGGAGTATTATATCACTACATCTGCCTGAGCTTAACACTCTCCCCTTTTAGCCGTGCACTGAAACTCATTGAAGTTCATTTTTTGAAATTCAATGCTAATTTTTGGATTTATTGACATCAAATTCCTTGCAGAACAGCATGAACCAAGCACTTTTCTACAATCTTGTTGTTCACAGTATTCACGCCACATTTTTAGTGTTTTTATCTTGTCGCATTAGAACTTTAGCTGAAACTCCAAAAAAATCTGCATGATCATTTAAAGGGTTCGTTCTAATTGGAAGTATAAGTTTTCAGTCACCGAATTATTTACAGTCCTAAGTTGAACTGGTCTCATTTGTAAAACTCGCAGTTTTAAGACCAATTCAGCCTCCTTTTTGAGCCAAGCATTGCAAGTTCTGTCAGACACAATTTACAGTCTGTTTTTTTTTACTAAAAATTGTCAATTTGGTGTTTCATGTTTTCCCTCTAATAGTTTAATTGTAGTTAAAAACAAAATTTCTCATAGCTGTCAGCAATTTTTTAAACATGCATAGTCTTTAAGACTGTCTGGTCAGAAATATCATCATGTACAATGTGTCGGCTTAAATGGCATATTTCATGTAAAAAGATAAATTAATATTGTATTTATATGATGAAGGAACCACATTGAAGCCATATAATATTTTAATTTTGACTTACGAAGTGCTTTCAATTTTTAGAAGGTTTATAGTAAACAGATGGTTGATGGAATTTTAAGTTTCATCAATAAAATGAGTGTCAGAAAATATCCATTTTCATTTTTTTGAAGAAGTTGCATCCTTGAATAAAATGAGTGTTACAAGATATCCATTTTAATTCTTTTTAAGAAGTTGCATCCTTGCATTATATTTAATGTACAATAGTTTTACCGTTTCACTTGTTTTCAATTTTGTCTAGTCAATATCTGTTTTAGTGTGTGATGCAAACATTTTCTGCTAGCAAAGCAGCATAAGTTTTCTTTTAAAATGGAACCAATTTTTTTCAACAAATTGTGTATGTCTAAAATGATCTCGTAAGAGGTAAGAAACTTCAGTTATGAAATTGTTACTGTGATTGTCATTTTTTAATTTTTCATTGATACTTATGCTACATATTTGTTCTCTCAATTTTTGAAAATTCAAGGCCTCTCGAGTAAGATGAAAGAGTTTCTCCATAAAGAAGCTTTTAAACTCTCCTTTAATTTCTTTCAGAAATATTCTGTACACCCGCCCTTTGAGGGCAAATATGCGTATCTTGCCAATAAAAAAATTGCAATGCATCCGTCATATTTTTTGTTATCCTAGAAACCAATTTTTTTTAAAAACTCAGTAACTTCCTAAAATGAAGGAGACTTTACTATGCAAATTGCAGGAACTTCTTAGACTTACAGCGGATTTCTATATGAGATAAAAATTAGGTCAGAGGAATGTAACTTCCTCATTGAAGTTTCACGTGCTTAAAAAGTTCAAATGAATGTAAATAATTTAATACAGAAATATCATCTTTAGTTTAAATTAAAATCAGAAAATTCAAACTTCCTGCTCCTGAAAAAATCATTATAATTGAAAACCAACCTGCAAATAACTTTATCTGTGTTTCAAATCCATTGCCTACCTCCTTTGCCACGCTGCACTTCAAAAATTGATAAGAAAAACTTAGTATGCTGAGAAAATAATTTAATAGCAAAATGTACTGATCGCAATGTAGTTAGCTGCTTTAGTGAATTCAGATTTTTTGGTGAGCAGGAAGTTTGCAATAAGGAGTCCAGAAAAAACTCATTTTCTGTTTATGACTAAAATATGGAACATGAGCTTACAAGGAATAAGCATGTGATGGAACACCTAATACCTTACGTTGTCTGCACTCATCTGTACTAATACAGAAATACACCTGGTACATTTTGGTCCCACTTGTCAAAACGGAACATGTACCATTCGTTGGTGGTAGTCAAGAAAAAGGCAATTAAAAAACCTGTCGACCAGAAATAACTTGGACTACCTACTTCACATTTTTACTGCAGCATACAGTCTTGGGTAAATGTGAGCATCCCAAAATTTTCTGGCCAGAGACATCATGTTGTCACAAAAAATTTGATCAAATTGTTCCCTCACAATTTTCACAAGTCGAGGACTATTATTACTTTTACTGAAGGAGGGGTAAGCCACGCAGAACAATGTTTCCCTAAGATCAGACATGAACATTTGTAACTGCATCTGACCCCTAGATTTCTTGGTTGGTTTTTCTCCGGACTTATCAAAGTACCTTTTATAAGTTTTTTTGGACATAGGACACTTTACTTCGACAATATACTTTCCTAGATAGGCATCTGGAGAAGCACCAAATATTGGGTGCTTCCTTTTTAAAATCACTCCTCCTCTACTCATTTTTTCATTTTTAAATATTTTTTGAACGGCGTTCAAAACTATTGGTTCTAGGTCACTGCCCCTTTTCATGGCCTTGGTTTCCTTGAAAGGGACCGCGCCTAGAATCAGATTTACAAGGCTGATGCCTCCTGAACTTCTTGAAGCTTGATGAATATTTGAGCCTGTGACTCTACCTTGTCTCACTTCACACCAGAGGCTTGATTTCGACTGCCCAGCAGATGCAGCCACCAAAGCCTCACATTCAGCATCGGTCATGGAATTTTCACAACATTCAATGCAACCATCAGGGCTGTGAGGCTCTGGAGTCTGCACATACTTCGGCATGAGGTGGAACAAGGCATACGTCGATTGCTCTTCACAGTGACTTCTTAATATTGAGGGGCTGGATTTCTTCAAAACTTCAATCGAGGCGTTGAAAAATTCATTTTTCACCTCCTCCGACAGCGTCACAGTTGAGGGTGGATGAATTTCCTCAATTCTCAACGCTTTCATGGAGCCGCCAACTTTAGACAGAGTTGAATTTCTCCAGTAGCACTCCACTGGTGTTCTTGCCGGAGTCTCGCTTTGTCGATGCAACCAGCAAACAAACGCTACCACATGTTTGCAACCATCTAAAATAGAGTAAAAGGGGAAATAAAATAAATGCTTGCTAGGTGAAATCAAGCCCCTCACTGATTTTCATGCTGAAATGCACAGATCCTTTTTATCGTGATTATTTGACAATTTTATTGAAACGTTTCCAGATTTTGAAGGAATAACTCATCATATTCTGATTGGACGTACATACCTATACCAAAACAGATTATATATGAATGAGTTAAATCAAAAATAAATATGTGCGCACAGTCCAGATGCTTGTTTCCTACATACAGTAATTCATTTTTACTTAGTTTCTATAGTATGAATGCGTCAAATTGTGAACATAGCTTTTTGTTGAAAATATTTTCATAGAAAAATTGTCCACGAAAAAAAAAAACAAAGAAATTTCACTGAAGCAATCAAGATAAGGAATTCTTCTTGGACCATCTGTCTGCGTGGTATTCTTTTAGGTCCCTCTTTCTTTTCTGTTAACATATTATGGTCAATTTAATGACCCACTTCAATCCCTATGTCACGGCTGTTATTGACAGTCTGTAGATAGTTTATGGATGGACCTTAATCAATAAATGGACCGCGTTAAACAGAAAGGAGCCAAGCCACATCAGCTATTGCCAAATTTGATTAGGCAATTTAATTTTTTACACAAAAACGGTTGTGCGGATTTTTTTGGCAAATTTCAGTGAGTTTTCTCCATAATACGAAGCAAATTCCTTGAAGTTTACGAAGGAATCTGCATAGACATTCTTTCGTAAAAAATGTAATTTCCCTGTTAAATTTGGCAATAGCTGATGTGGCTTGGTTCCTTTCTGTTTAACGCGGTCCAAGTATGCAACATAAGATTTTATTGCTCAGGGTAAATTGATACAAAATCAAAGAAGTTTCAATGAATAACCTGGGAGCCAACTCATACATTCTTGTTGAAAATGACAAATAGTTCTTTAAGTCCAGACTCCTATAGATTCTTGAGGTTTTGCTGAGGGTATGTAATTCAAACATGTGACTGCACTAAACAGCCGTTTTCATTTGTTCCATTCAACAGCTTACCTATAGAAGTGTTTTTACCTCATGCAGTAAAAAAAAAAAAATCCTAACTTTGGCAAGGGGCCTTGTTAGTTTACCATCACTAGCGGGGCAATCTTCACAAATTGTCTTGAGGATATTCATTTTTCTCTCATCGATGAGACAGTGCACAGGGTAAGGTTTAATTCGCACCTTGTGCTCAGGTGTCATATCGGCTTTGACATGGCAGAGCCAGGGAATGGTTTTGTCCTTGGGGTCTGCGGGGATTTCTCTGATGACTTGCACATAGCCAATAGCTTTATTGGAATAAGAATCTCTGGCAGATCTGAGAGGAAAAGATGAACAAATTGATGGGATAAGTGAGGCGTTATGGAATATATAAAGTTGATGGTGTCTGAATTTTCTTATAACGATAAAGTTCATAATTTTTCAGTGTGTTTCGGTACTTACAATAAGTTACAGACCTGACAGGAAATGCTGATTACCTTGCTGATGATATAGGTAACATCTAAAATAGTGAAAGAGAGAACTCACTTGACCCATTCCAGTTGAATTGTCAAAAACAGCTGGCTTGTAAGGAGGCAGCTTTGCAAAAAGTTTACCAAATCATGAATAGTAGATGTTTCCCAGAGTTTGATGCTAAAGTGTCCTCATCAAGATAGCTGTACATAGAGAATTTACATCTATCCCATACTACTTGACAGGGACATTTGTCGCAACAATCATTGGTCGTGAGTCTCAGGTTCAATACCTGTAATAATACAATTTTATTGTTTAGCAAGAGACATGAGCTTAAAAATGACTAAGCCATGCACTGATGAATTAAAAACAGAGGAGGCTGATGATAAATTTTTCTTCTTGATTGAGAGGGTTTCTCTCTTTTCGTGATCAGACATTCTTCACAGTGGAGTTCTTGCCAACTAAGTTTGTGCATTTGTAGCCTGTGAAAGGAGATCTACCGTCTAGATTCTTCAATTAACTTAACAATAAAAAATTACGTCAAACAATCTTCTGTCACAGTCTAAAAGTGCACAAACTAATTTGGTGTGGACTCTTACCATAGTTCAATGGTAAATGTTGGCAGACGTATTACATAATAAAGTCTCTGTTGATAGATAAATGTTGACCCTTCAACTAATGTGTACTAAATGTTGAAGAATTTGGAGCTGCGGATGCGGTGTCACGGCACTTGAAGATCACTGAGGACGTATTAAAAAAGGACCATCTTGAAGCAATGATAACAAGTGTCAAAAGATGATGTATTCTTGCATTCAGATTGAGGTTCCACAATACTCGACATGGAATATTTTCCATGTTGAAATATAGTAGGTCCGAACTTACCTAACAGTTTTCCAATTCCTCATTTCAGGGGACAAAAACGATGGTGTGGAGAAGAACTGAGCAAGCATGATAGAATCAACTTTTGGCAGATTTTGATCTGTGCCCTTTTCGAAATCACTGTCAACTTTTTTACCTGTGATTTAAGAACACGTAACACTTCTTACAGTCAACAATTTAAAAACACTTCACTTGACGATTTGCAAACACGCACAAAAATGCAAAAATGATTGCCTTATCAGCTACCTCATAACCTCAAGGGACAATCGGTTGAACGGTAGAGCAGGAGTAGCCTTTTTACAATGCCTCGACGATGTGTGGTCAAATCTCAGGGGGTAATTCCGGCGCCATTTTGGAATGCCGCTAAAACGCGGGCGAACGCGGCATTTTAAAATTTCGAACTTCATAAGTCGTTTTCGGAGGGAAAAACTGCTCGGAAAAATCTGAAAAAATTCCTGCGTGATCAGAGGACAATGTAGTTTTCAAAAATGCAAGAATTAGAAATAGGTTAACAAGCTCATTACATAAATAAACATGAGTCTCACACTTACAGTCTCATGAGGATCAATTAAAATATTACAAGGAATTTAAAAATTGTTATTTGGTCAGTTAGACGACCAAGAAAAGAAGAAGTGAACAGCTAAAAAAGGTACAGCAGCCACATTATAGCTGCACATACTTGCACCAAACTTGAGGTTGCTTTCATACTTATCTGGCCAGAGAAAATTCAAATTTTAGAGGAAAACATCTTACCTTGCCTGTTTTAACAAAAGCTTCGGACACCTTTCGGTTGCGACCACCATAGCAAGTTGTGATAAGATCTGCTACCCCACAACTTTCAAAAAAGGTGCCCAGTCTAGCTCCAGGGTAAAATATGTCTACAAATTTGATCATCTCCATTAAACCTAATCTAATGATTGCTGCTTTGGTATTATCCCCCAGGCCCAGACCATCAACAAAACCAGCTGCACAGGCAACAACATTCTGCAAGAAAAAGACATGAAATCATAATGAAAGAATAGGGAAATGGATTCAATACTTAAAAAATTAGTTTTAAAGCTTGCAAACATTGTAAACGTTACTCGACCAACCAATGTCTTTGTCTTGGTTATATGTAGAGCCCATAAATTAAAAAAAAACTATAAATATCATTAATTTCAGGATTGAAATAAGATACAATTATGAGGTGGACATGAAAAAAATATATCAATAAAAAGAAATTAACTGGTATCTAGGGGTGTTCAAACGAATTCTTGCCGGAACTCTTTCTATATCGTCTCTTATTGAAACTGGCGGCAATACCGACAGTGGCGATGATATCGACAACAGCCGGCTTTATCGGATTTTTGAGAGCTCGCACTCAATGCATTGTTGCCCCGAGTGTCGGTTTATCAGATCGCCTGGCACGGCGGCGCATGAAATAGATGTACACATGGCAACAGCTTGTTTTTGCCAGCTCCAAAAACTCTGATCGCTATCGGCAGGAGCGCTCTTATCGTAACTTTTTCTTAACGGAACTGTTTCGGTAGCTTACCGACAACCGATAGAACAGCCCTACTGGTATCCCTAAGAACCCACACAAAAAATTAAAAAATTTGGCAAGTGGCATGATCATTCTTAAAACAAATCGTAACTCTCAGTTTGTAGGTGAAAGTTGTCTATTTTCATGTTTCTATAAACATTAAGCTACCAATTCCCCGTCACACCCTGACGGCCTAGAACTCCGAGGGGCGCATTGGTCACACAGAGATTTTGTCTGATTCTCAACGCTGAAAATCGTAACCTTCTAGGGCTCAACCAGGAAACAAAACATTTCCACTACTACTGACGACAAAATTAAAATAGTGTGTTTTTCGGTTGCAATTATCATATTTTTACCCATCAGAATGTTTCTTTTGGTGAGATTCTAACTGGATGAATCGTCAAAGGATATCTGGTAAACTATCTCAGCAAAGAAAAAAATCCCATTTGCAGACCTTCAAGGGTTGTAATTATTCAAATTATAAAATATAAAAAAGTGCGGTTTTCTAAATGTATTCAGACCTTTAAGGGTTGTAATTATTCAAATTATAAAATATAAAATAGTGTGGTTTTCTAAATGTATTATTTTAGTCAATAAGAATATTAAAATAGTAATTGTGAAAGAGATAAATTGCATAATAATTAAATTATTTATAATGTGAGTCTTAGAATAGACCAAATTTAAGCAGCTAGATAGGGAGTTGGATACACTGTGTGCCCCAACACAGCTACGGAAGGAGTCCTTCCCCTCTCACCAAGAAATCAGTCTGATCTGCTTGAAGGTCATCTTGAGCGTCGGTGCCTGAAGCATGGAGCAGAATTAGAAAGCCAAAGTTTAACAGGCCTAGTGATAGGATTCATAGGAATTCAATGACAAAACAAAATAAGAACATACCTTTAAAGCACCACAAATTTCAACAGTATCAGTGTCATCTACAACACTCACTCTGAAGTAGTCAGTCTGAATTAGATCTCGTAGAATGGGTCCAAGCTCTTTGTCTTTACAACCTGTGAGGAAAATAGAAATAAAAATAAATTATGGAAAGAACCTCGCCAGAAATTTGTGTTTGTTTATTAGTGTTCGTTGGTCGATTTGGCTACAGAATCAAGAATTAAACGGAACTTATGATGAAAAATTACTCAAAGGATCAAAATGTATGAAATTGGTTTCCGAATTACTGAGAAGCAAAACCTTATCCATCTTATCATTTTGGTGTCTTCAGTGAAGCATTAAAGGGTGAAATAGTAAGAAATAGCAACTGACTCGCTACATCCAGGTTTGAGCGTTGGACTGCCAGAGTGTGTTCTGAATTAATAAGTAACAAAGTATACCTTTACAGCTTTTAACATGATCCTAAGGCACTAAACAATTGATTTACAAAATAAACTTACCTTCAAATAGTGACAAAAAAGTAAAAACTCATGAAAATGGCTAAATATTGAGGTAATGTCCATGTCTGTTATCACTAAGCAGATGTAAACAATCGCCCATTGACTACAGTCTTCCTTAAAAATAGAGTTTATCCCGTCGGTTCTTATTTATCTAATGAAGGTTTTAACCATTTAAACGTACGAGGAATCCATTTCTGATTTCCACTTTGATCAAAAAATTATCAATTGACTCGATATTTGCATTTGAAAATCGGCTGCCATTTCCTTACGAGAAAATACATTGTAAGTGATGAAGAAACCAGGTCTGTCATATCATTTCACGTCACAAGAATGGCGGACCCGAAACGACAGTTTTGAAAATCCAAATTCTGAGGCGTTTTTAAGTTGATTTTTTGGGGGTTTCCGGTTATCAAAAAACTCCGGGAAAATGCCTGTGACATCAGGAGCCTTAAATCTTTCGATTAAAGCAATAAAAAAAATGGGTGCAACAGGCCCATTGGATATTTTCCTTAAATTGTTTTGGAAAAAGGCTACACAATACGACGACTTGATACCTGAGATATCAAGCCTGAAAATTGATTGTCTTTAACAGTGCAGCTTAAATCAGTCATAATAGCAAAAGGTATCTCCTGTGTAAAAAGGGGGAAAAAATTGATAAAAAAATCATTTGTTTTCAGGATGCCTTGGTGAGGTCTTTAGTCGGAGCTTGGAGAAATTTACTGGTCTTATTGCCTGCGTTTGAGCAACTATATAGAGAGATTTTAAACATAAAAGGACTTAAGTTCAATGATCAGCCTGTCTTGTAATTTAACACATGACCTTTTTGACAGTTGTTGCTTTTCCTTCAGCTTAAATGCATGTTCATACAGTTAGACAACGAAACCGTATTAAAATTGAAGAGTTTCAAAACGCATTCTCATAAAGTACTTTCTAGAACTACTCTTTATAGATTATTCGACGATACTCAACAACATTTTCAGAGATAATTTTTTAAGGAGGCGAGGGAAAATTACTTAAAATTTTCCATCTTAACACTCAATGGTCGTCCTTCAAAAAAAAACATTCGACAAGAAATCTGCGTTGATACAAACTGAGCAATGGGGCTCCATAGTTTCATCACTAATGCCTTTCTCAACATTTATTATTTATTTCTTGCCTACAAAAAATAACTTCCAAAGAACAGAATTATTACCAATGGTTGTTTCACAGAACTTTTCCTCTGCTACTTCTCCTGCTAAATTGGCCCCCATCAACACTGTAACTGGGATTCCAAGATGTTTGGTGATTATGTGGGAGATCAGTTCAATACCACCTCCTTCTGCTTTATCGAAACCTTTGATTAAAGACAGACCAACAGCGTTTGGTTTGATTTTCCCCAGAAGGCTCTGGCAAAGGCGAGGGATAAATTGATGAGGTAAAACAAACACAAGAATGTCTGCTTCTTTGGCTGTCTCAATAGGATCTGGCACAGCAACCTAGGCGATTTACAAAATAAAATACGAGTAATTTAAGCAGTTAAGTAATTTAAATATAAGTAAAAACACAGGTTACAAAAACAAGCATTTGATATTTATCATAATAACACAGGAAGAAACACTTACGTTGTATTTTTATAGTTTGATTGCAGGAAGTATCTCATTTTTTTACTAGCCGTTCTGGGCGCATTTCGCGCGTCCGTCAGGGCAACCCAAGGGGCTACGCCCCCTGGGCCCACGGTCACTCGCTTCGCGCGCCATTTTTCTAAGTATGGTTGGACATTTGATCACTATAATGTATACATTTTGGAGACTCTCAAGGCAAAAATGATTTCATCACAGAACTTGTTACTGGAGCGTGCCATCATTTGGACAGTAGTAAGTACATACAAGCTGTTCAGGGCGCGTGTCTTCGCGCCAGAGGGCTTCTCCACCCCACCCCCCTCCCCCGGTAAAATAATTTGAAAATAATCTTAATAACTGTGATTATGATAACAGAACAAATGAATTTTCTTACGATGAATAAGATTCAAAAGCACAAGTCCATTTCGATAATTTTATCTCCCTTAGTCCTAGTATGAATAATTATAATTTTAGCAGAGACAAACCGGACACCCTTTCATTTTTCAGAAGGGAAATCAAAATTAATTTCAAGATTTGACATTGAGTGAGCGAAAATTTGAAATAGGGGTAATTCTTGTCCCTGGTCTTGTAATTGCATGTAAATATGTTCTTCTCCTATTTTTTGGCCTAAATATGAAGAAAACACTGTTTTCTAAAAACGTACGTTAAAAAATTTCCTAATATTCATGTTTTTTGTACCTAATTTTTTACCGTTTGAATGGTCTCAAACTCACGACCGTCACGCATCCCGACACTATGGCTCCTAGCTTGCACTGTTACAACTCAAAGAGTAAAACGTTATTCGAGAACTAACAGATCATTAAATATTTAAACACGTTTCTCCATTGTCAAAAAATATAAATAGAAGATAGATAATCCGCAGTATAATTCGTTCACAAGCGGATAAGAGCGTTCGGAAAAGATTACCCACGACCATCACATTTAGACTCTAGAGAAAAATGCTTCTACCAAAAAGCGTGTTAGTAGCGCAACCGGAATCCGGTCAGCGCACACTGTGGTATTTGACCAAAAAACCTAGCCAAAACCTCAATTTAAATTTTTTATTTTTTTCCCCGGAAAACTCATGGGATATTCGGAATCTGCACTGTTTTTTACCTTAAAAAACATCTATGTGCTATTTTACGAGTGGCTCAATCTCCCGCGATGAGACCACCAAGTTACTTATTTCTCAGCGATTATTTTGATATACTGGGGGCTCTGCCCCCTGGCCGCTAACGGCCCAACCCCCTAGAGGGCGCTTCGCAGGCCCTATACGCATATGTATAGGCAAAAAATGTTCTTCCGTTTTAATACATCATTTTATGTTTGAGCTGCATCGATTTTAAAATGTTTAACATAACACTCAGATTTGTGAATGATGAAGAATAGCTGGATGTACACGCTTTGGTATTAATAGAGGCATTATATTGATGGCTAAACTCGGGAAACATGTATCTCAATTTGCGACGTCGTATACTTCTCGTCATACTTTTTTTTTTTTTTTTTTTTTTTTTTTTTTTTTTTTTTTTTTATTGGAAAACTAATCAACGTACAAAATGATTTGAAGACGACAGTAATTTCACTTCTGCTCGAAAAGTATTCTGTGAAAATTTAAAGGGATAAAATTGCGCTTTTCCCTTCGAAATCTTAAATTAGATGCGAAAATCTTGAAACACCGTGAGCAAGGTACGTGGTTTTCAGCAATCGGTATGCAAAAAAAGCTCTCATGTTATGCAATATATCGCTAAGATTGTGGAATCCAGCACATGTTTTTCGGCGAATCCAGTCTTCATGCATTTTTATATTTTGACAAAGACTATGCGCTGCACTTTCAAAAAATTTATTTTTTGACATTTTTTCACATCCATACATTGAATTCAACTTTACTTTTCTTCTTTTCCTTTGAGAAAGGAAAGGGGTTTTAATTGGGCTACGTTTAATAGAAACGTATCAAGTCGCATGTAGATGAACTCGAAAGAAGGGAAAAGTGAAGAGTTAGTTGAGCTGAAAACTACTCCTAACTCAATTTTTTGGAAAATGCGACTTGGTGCGGTTTTGTAAACGCATTCCACTTCCTGCAGGAATTTCCATTTATTATGTTATTTTCAAATGGTTAATTAAAAAAAAAAAAAATCGGATTACGACCATTGAGAGTTATCAACATTTGGTCCGCCCCGACGCGACGCAGCACTTGCCTTCTCACTTTGTATCTGCTGTTAATATTAATAGAAATTCGGCAATCAAGTATTGACCAATGCCACAATCGAAGCTGGAGGAATGAGGAGAAATTGAGTAAAAACCTTAAGCCCGGCAGCTCAGGTTGGGATATCCCCATTAGCCCTGCACGAGGGTTATAGCATTGTTCTATTGTTTATTCGAGTCACTCGGGTAAAATCCCACACCTAGACGTTTCTAGCGGAAACGACATATCTCTCACGCTATTAACATTGGACATAAGTCCCGTGAGCTTTAAAAGCTCTATAACATTAAAAGTTCGCGGTTTCATAATTTTTTGCTTATCTACAGCTAATAACATACATGTAAGGATCATCCTTATCGGTCCAGTAGTTCGTCAGAAATAGTGCCTCCAAGATTTTGCTTGTAGCTGTATAGTATAAAAAAAGTAAAAGTATAGATTTGTGCGCGCTACTCGTCGATCAGTTTAATTCGACTGTGCTACCATAAGAGGGAAGTTCGGTGATATGCAACACATTTGTAGGGGTATGTTCAACACAACTAACCAAAGTATTTTCTAAAATTCTTTTTTAGTGATTTTCACAGGAGGCTGAAAAGTAATGTAAAAGTACACGATTTTTTCGAAATTCAGAGGCCCGTTTCTTTTTGGCCTCAACTGTAAGCGCATAGCTCACTTATGAAGCGTTTTCGGGCATATGTGTATCGGAAAAAAAGTCATATTTTGAGCCGAAAAATCGATACTGAAAGTTAAGTACGTTAACTTCCGGACACCCTGTATTTAGGGAAGCATCAGNGGGGGGGGGGGGGGGGGGGTTAAGAGGCGCCTTGCTGGAGAGGTAGGAGGGGAAGGGGGTCAAGAACTGCCTTGCGTAAGGCAAAATACCTGCTTGAGAAAAAAAGTGAAATTTGAATAATGAATTTCTCCTTAAAAGCTCCTAAAATATATGAACTGAAAGTAAGAAATTCGAAAAAGCAGATCTGCTCAAGTTTTATTATCATCTTTTTATTTATTCTATTCATTTCCTCCTTTTTGGTAGCATCTGTGTCTATTTACGATTATTATTTTAAAATAGCCTTCCTTAGAATACATTTGATGCTTCAAACGGAACCAATTTGTTTTAAGGACATTTCCGGCTAAATCACGGGGTTTCCCAGGAAGGATGCCTCTGGTCCTTCGAAAACTTTATTGTTACTGGATGTGATACCGTGCTGACAAGATGGAAATAGCTCTAAACCTCCCCCTTTTTCACCGAGGCGTATAAAATATTTTTAATCCTGACTTGGTTTTACAAAAAAAGTCGACCCAACATGCTGACAAAAATTTAATGTATGTTTTTAATGAATTAGAGTTTTTTCAATTTCTAATAATTTTCCATACTTTTGCCTCGAAAGAAAGTGCTTCTTGGTAGGAAATTGCTTCATCTTAATCCTGAAAGGGGATACATTGACCAAATGCTGATTGACAGACTGACTGACTGACTAACAAACCGACTTAAAGTAATTGATTGTGACTGCTTGTAATAGTTTAGAGGGTTTGAATTATTTCAACTTAAGTAGGTATTCTCAGGATGACCCTCCTTGGACAGACAATAATGTAACACACGACAGAGGTTCCCATAGGAAATTCTCGAGTTGCCCCTCCCAACCCTCGGTGCCCCATCCTCGAGGAGCGGGAAATCAGGGCCACTTCACAGGCGGGGCTGTAGGAGGGTCCTAACACTCTCGAGGGGAATTTGCTCCCCAGATAGGTGAGGCCCTCCCCATAGGAAAGAAGCAATCGTATTTGAGTAGCCGCTCAGTACCAGTAGACACCTTTTTGGTGTTGTCAGAAGCCTCACTAACGTCATGAAAGGCTTGAGGGGCGCAGTTCTGGGGGCTCGAGAAAATTACTTGTTGATAAAGGCCCCAGAATGAGATTTTAGAGCTGGAGAGAAAGGGATTTTGCGATTTTCAGGAGCGGCTCTTATGCAACGAGACCCTGTTAGTACCGGTTTACTCATAGAAATGAGTAGAGCCCTCCGCGTCTCCCCGTATCGTACGGTCAACGCACATTGCGTGCCGTTTTATCACACGGATTCTTAACCCCTCCTTCCTTTACTAATTTTACCACTCACTTCCTTTTAGTTACTATACTAGTCGGAAGTCGAAACCCCTTGAGCTCCCTTCACTTGCTCCACGAGTGATTGTGGACTGCTTTTACTGACACATCGGGTAAATTCGAGAAAGTTACAGAGACATTTACCACTCGTTGCCTTACGACACTCTCCCAAAATTTCACGTAAAGTCTAGACATTTTCGGAGGGGATGCAGTGGGAGCCTCAATTTACTTGCGCATCATTAGAAGAAAATTAGAGAAAATTCCAGAAAAACGATCGCCAGTCATTTTGTAACATCTTTTGCAAGTTCTAGAAATTCTAGTAAGTTCCAGGAGTAATGATGGTCTCCTTTCACATACGCATCACTTTGAGGAAGTCGAGAGTTCTACGAAGTTCCAGAAACAGTTACCACTCGTCGCCATGTGACAGCCTCCTAAGTCCAGAGAAGTTCTGGAAAAGTTCGGAGAGGTCGTATGGGGAGCCTCCTTTACCCGCCACCGGTCGGCGGCTATGCTTGCAAAAAGTGATGAAAGGGATGGAACCTTTCCTCTCTCTCGAAGTCGAAAATTTCGATCCACCGTAATG